TAGGGCTGTCAAGGGAAGGATCTGTACAGCAGGTATGTTACTTTTTGGTGATGGTCAGCTTCTAAAATTTTTTTGGATTTGGGCATCGCCTGCAAGTTGCCTAGAACATGGTCATTAGGAATGGGTCTGCTGAGTGCCTTGCCAGTCTATGTCAAGGCACAGTTAAAAGTCAGATACATTGTTATGTGTCTGGAGCCACATGTAGGCCAGACCAGATAAGGATGGTAGATTTCTTTCCCTAAAGGACATTAGTGAACCAAATGAGTTGTTGTGATAAAAGTGCAATGCTGGAAATTTGAAACAAACATAGAGAATGTTGGGCAAACTCAGCAGATCTGTCAGCATCTGCGGACAGTTAATGTTTGAGTCTGGTATGATTCTCCAGAACTCGTTAATTTTGTTTCTCTCTCCAAACATGCTGAGTTTCTCCAGTGGTTCTTATGATGGGCAGCATTACATTAGCTTTTTTGGGTCCTGGCTTTTTAGTATGGAAAAGAGGCCCTTAGCCCTAGCGTGTCTATGGTGGTCATTAGACACCTAGTTACGCTAATCCCATTTTCCAGCAGTTGGCCCTTATGCTATCGCTCTTCTAGTGCTCATCTAAATACTTTAAAAATGTTGTGCAGGTTCCTACCCCTACCAACTTTTCTGGACAGTAAGCTCCAGATAATCCCCACCCTCTCAGTGAAAATTTTATTTCTCCAATTCCCTCTAAACCTCCTGCCTGTTACTTTACATCTAAACCCCCTAGTTATTGATCTTACTACGAAGGGAAAAGTCTCTTCCTATCTATGCCTTTCATAATTTTGCACACCTTAATCAGGTTTCCTCTGTCACTCTTCTCTGCTCAAAGGAAAACAACCCCAGCCTAACTAGACTCTGTTCATAGCTGAATCACTCCAGCCCAGGCTCCTTCCTGGTGAATCTCCTCTGTACTCTCTTTAGCGCAGTTGAATCCTTATTGTGGTAGGGGGTTGGTTAGCTCAATTGACTGGACGGCTTGTTTGCAATGCAGATTGACACCAACAATGCACGTGTAATTCCCTTACTGCTGATATCACCATGAAAGTCCTTCTATCTCAATTTCAGCCTGAGGTGTAGTGATCCTCTGGTTAAACAACTAGTCATCTCTTTTTCTAATGAGACATCAACCCTATGGTCCTCTGGGACTGTAGTGAATTTAACTTTATTAGTTTGGCAACCAGAACTGCACATAGTTCTCCAGCTGTGGCCTAAATAATGGCCCATCATAACCTCCTTGCTCTCGTATTCAATTCCTCAACTAATAATTCCCATTTGCCTTCTTAACCACCTTATCTTTCTGTTCTGTTGCCTTCAAGGATCTATGGACATGCATGCCAAGGTCCCTCTGATCCTCTGCACTTCTTAGGGTGTTTTCACAGCGGTGTTGGGTGCATCTTATGTGGGCCTGGATGTTTATCCACTTTCAAGCCTGTTAAAACCATTAATATCTCCTCCCTCTCAATTGTAATGTTCAAGTATATCGCAGTCTCCTTCTCTGATATCTAGACCTATATTGTCCCTCTCTATCGTGATTACAGATGCATAGTACTCATTTAAATCCTTGCACACATTACCACTTTGGTCACCAAATGACCCTACCGTTTTCCTGGTTATCTTTTTGCTTATACTTATAAAATGTAATATACTTATAAGATACTTTGGATTTTCCTTAATGTTACTTGCCAGTGTTTCTTCATGTCTCTTTTTTTTGCTCCTAATTTTTTTAAGCAAACCCCTGGCACTTTCTATACTCCTCTAGTGCTGACTTGGAACTATATTGATGTTTCATTATTGGCTGCATAAAACAATCCGAATAGCATCTCCTATAGCACTGTCTTAACACCCCAAAAAATGCAGTGGTTCAAGAAGGCAACTCATCACCACTTTCTCCAGGGCAATTAGCGATGGGCAATAAATGCAGACCCAGTTAGCAACACTCAGTCTATGAATTAATAAAATGAGACAGGAAGTAAGAATACAGATGGTAAATCACAGACCAGTCAGGCTAACCTAGTGGTAGAAACATACTGGAAGCTGTAAGAAATGAAGTGGCAGAAGGTGATATCGTTTCCAAGTCTCAATAGGGTGTTGTAGGTGCTACATCTATCCTGCCTCTATCCATACCCCTGCTTCAATACAGAATTGCCCATGCCCGTTCACCAACCTCCATGACCCTTAACCCTGCAGCCACACAGGAGATGGTGACATAGTGCTAATATCACTGAAGTAATAAACCAGTGGCCCAGGCTAATGCTCTGGAGACATGGGCCCAAATCCCACCACAACACTTGGTGGACCTTATATTTGGATAAGTTGAGGGCTTTGATTAATGCAATATCATGGAGACATCATTTGAGGGAAGAGCAGGTAGTGTAATATTGATCTAGGAGTCATTTGCTGCAATAAAGAGAAATGACATTTTATAAGGTTCTTCAAATGAGGCCCATATGTGTAGAAAATATTATAAAATAGCATTGATTCCAAAAGGTGAAGGCACATTTAACTTAACAGATTAAAGAGACAGTAGAAAGAGTAGATAAGAGTAAAGTTGTGAATGCCATAAATGCTGATTTCCACAAGGTAGATAATGGTTCATCAGATAGCAGATCAGATGGAATATTGGCTAATTAAAAGCAGGCAGAGAATGGATGCTGGTTGTTCTTTAAATTGGAGTGAGGCAGAAAGCTTTGGAAATGTTTGGAATAATTAGTGCTGGGACTATTGTTAAACATAAGAATTTATATTTAGGAATAAATAATACCAAAATTTTCAGATAATACCAAACTGATGGGTATTGCTAACACTGAGGAAGAATGCAGCATGAGACAAGATGGTATTATAATATATTCAGATTTAGCAGTTAAGTGCTAAATCAGCTTTGACAAAATGTTAGTTGATATGCTTTGGAAGGAAAAATCAAAAACATCATCTTAGAATAAAAACCTGAATGGTGTAGAAAAGGATCTAAGGATACAGGTGAATAAAGTATTAAGTGCAACAGCATGTTTAGAAAAGCTGTTAACCTGTGAACAATATGCTGGAATTTATTTATAGGGCTATAGGGTTAATCAGTAGTGAAATTATGTTAAACTTCTATAGTGCCCTGGTCAGACTGGGCTAAAGTATTGAACATAAATCTGGTCTCCATATTATAAAAAGAACATAGAAACACCAGACAGAGAGCAAGAAGGAGATGAACAGGAAGATTGCAGCTATTGGGAAAGATTGAACAGGCTGGCCCTTTTTCATTCAGAAAGCAGAAGACTTCGAAATGATCTGCTACAGATCTTTAAAATGATGAAGAGATTGGTCAGGGTAGACAGGATCTGTTTCCACTTACGGGAGAATCTAAAACAAGACTGGCATAAATAGTCAGCTACTTCCTAATCATTCACAACCTTGGTATTTGCCAAAATATTTTAAGCCAATTGAGTACTTTTGAAGTTTATTAACTATTGTAATATGGGAAACGTTACTGCCAGTTTGTACATTACAAGCTACAATAAGAGCAATGTTATAATAATCTGATTTTGCAAAGTTTAGTGAAGGATTAATATTAGCCAGAGACGAAGGAAACCTGTGCTTTACTTCTAAAATAGCAGCTGTAACATTTACCTGAAAGGGCAGGACAGTACCTCTGATAATGGAGCACTCCCTTACTACTGACCTTGACTTCAGGTTTATTTTTTGTGCTTAATACTGGAGTGGGTCTTAAACCCAATAACACTTGACTTGTGGTTAGTGTGGAGAAATGTCTTCACTCAATGGAACCTAATGCTTACTCCTAAAGAGTTGCGCTCAGGGACAGGAGCAGAGACAAGAGGAAAATCCTATTCCAGCTTCAGTAAAAATGCTGATGGCAAAAATTGACCCAGTAAAGTGTGTGATCTGCGATTAAGTGCATCTCCTAATCTCGGCTACATAGTTAGTGATCACTAGATTAATGAATATGACAGATTAATAGGATTAATTTCAAGGCTGATTCACACCAAACTGGAGCTGGCAACTGGCTTCAATGTCACCTCTTCTGTTATAAGGTCACAGGATGCTAAACACAAAAGATTATGTAGGTTCCATTGTGTGTGCACAATGCATCAACCATAGACAGGTAGGAATTATTAGGAATGGAAATTGCAGGGATTCAGGAAAATTAGTAGGATATAGTCTGTTGTATATTCAAGGGTTTAAATATGTATCCCATCTTTGCTGATGTAAGCAGGTTGCACGACTCTGGCACACGTTACCTATAGAGTTTCTGAGGCATAAATAGAGAGATGCAGATGCTTATGTTGATTGTTGTGTTGGTGGAAAGATGTAGAGTAGGTCAATAATAATTTCACGAGTGCAATCAGGACATTACTGAATATGTTTTAGAACTGGCAACGGAACTGGTGCCAAGCTGGGTGTAGTAACAATAATCTTAAAACTAAGCCCAAACATTTAAGAGTAAAATCTGGACCAATTTTTCCACAAATGATAATAGATATCTTAAGCTCTCGGCCACAGAGGCTGTGGATGATGGGACCAAGTGACACTTTCAAGGCTCAGACTGACAGATTTTAGATAGGGAAGTGCATCAGGGAGTGAAATAGAGTTGAAATATTGATCAGCAAAGATCCCGCAGAATGATGAAGTAGGCTGAAGGGCCTGAACAAAATCTTTTAGTTATTATATCACTGCTGCTGCGTCAAAATCCAAGAGCTTTCGCCCTAATAGTGCTGTGTACGTACATACAGTTACTTATAATATACTGACCTATAGGTCTTTGCGCAGCCCTTACCTCCAGCTTGGCTTCAGCTCATTGTTGTACTATAACTAGCTGGTGAAAGCTATGAGAGTCCTTTGCTGATGTGTTTGAGTTTGATGTATTCAGCTTGTGAAGACATCTCTTCGTTTCCTCAACTTCATCCTGGCTACTGCAGTGTCTTGTCTTATCCAGGAGCAGACTTTTTAATGTTTTTATCCCTTCTAGAGAAATGGCTGCCCCTGTGCTTCTGGTGATCTGCAGTTTGATTTTTTGGGTATCGCTTTACCTCTCCTTCTGTCAGTTTAACAACCAACAGCACTACGAGTGGAACTGCCGCCTGGTAACCCTTATACATGGAGTTTTCATTGTTTGCTTCTCTGCATACGTTGGGTTTATCGATGGACCATGGCCCTTTAGTCATCCAGGTGAGTTCTGGCCTAAACTGCAATAGGAGGAAATAATTATAAGCATCAATTTTTAATTAGCAAGGTGCATGTAGAAAGCAGGCACATTAGCAGACCCCAAGTTGCTGGGACTATCATACTTGCAGCAATGAGGGACCGGCTACCCTAGACCATTTAGGTTGAGTCTGTGGGACTCCTGATTGCTGGATTGTAGTTGCTGTCTGACTAGTTTGCTCTAATTCAGGATCAGTGCTTAGCACCACACTTTGCTGTATCTATTCGTTCTGTGCTGATCCTGGCAAGTGAAAATTAAGTTACAGGTAGAACACTCAGTAGTGGAGTGGTGACATGTTCTGCCTTTTGTTGATTTAATTAGATTAATTCGGTGTAAAAGGTTGTTATACTTGTCAGTGAAAGATGAAATTGGAGTCAGTCTTTATTTGGTGTTGATATATTCACAGAGTAGATCATGACAGATGTATCTCTAAGCTTGGTTCAGCCCCACCATCAGGTGTCTGTTTGTATGTGCTCAAGTATCTATCCAATCAGTTCTCTCCACCTGTACGCACTTAACCTTAGTTGATATAATTAATGTACAGTCCAGCTTCATTTTGATTTAATCCCCTCCCTCACCTGTTATTGCGATGCCCTTAAGGGGCTTTTACATGTAAATTAATCAATTGGAACATGGTGATTTAGTGGTGGTAGTTAATGGATGAAAAATGTCATTTGGCTGTGTGTGACAACACTTCCAAATATAAAAGAAAGAAATTAGTGTACAGAGGGCAGGAGTGGCACAGGAGTAGTGTGCCTATCTCTGAACCAGAAACCTGGGTTCAAGTCCCATCTGCTCCACAGGTGTATCATAACATGTCTGAAAGTTGATTTTAAAAAAAGTCTGTTTCTTTCACTTTTGATGTTATTGCATTGCCCTTGCTTTGTCCACCATCTTTGGAACCTGGATGATTAATGATTGTGGATAAAGGATGAAAAGTACCATGGGTGATTTAGTAGTGGGAAAAAAAAATCTGTTGTGTGTGAAAGTGCTGCTTGATAGAAAAAAAATATTTATTGGCTAGAAATGATTCTTGTGGCGCACTGATAATATCTCTGCATTTGAGCCAGGACCACTGCATTCAAGTCCCATCTGCTCCAGAGGTGTGTGGTAACATCTCCGAACAGGTTGATTAAGAAAATAATATCTGGTACCATGGATTTAAGGCTGTTGTGGTGTAGGGCTAGTGCCTTACCTTGAGGGTAAAAGGCCCAGGTCCAAGTCCACCTCAAGATGTGATATCCATGGCGGTGTGTGTCATCGCATTTCTGAACAGGTTGATTAAATAACTTTTATTTACATCTCAGTGAGTTTGTTCAGTCACAAATTAAAGTTTTAAGTAAATTTCCACTGTATGCTATTGTTGACGAATCTGTGCTCAAAAGGATATACTTTTGCCTGAAGTGTTGAGACCAAGATCAGATAGGCAGTTTGGCTAAGCATCCCCAGCATAACTTGTGCACTTTGTGTTTGGGTGTGTGTGTGGTGGGGGTTGGGGGTGCTTTGGAGTGTTTAATACCATAGGCATACATTCAGGTTCTGATGTTGCCCAAGGCAAAACAGACTGTCATGCCTAATCCCTAGCTTCATGAACAGTTTCACCAGTAACAAAACAATTTTTCATTTACATCACTTCTCAACTGTGCATGTTTACCACACTGTCTCGGCTGGGATGTGCCTATTAATTTACCTTAAGGTGAGATTTTCTTAATAATGGGAACTTCTATCTGATTTTCTATCTAGGTTAGGGTGCATGAGGGCTGTCTGGGGGCAATGAGATAATAGTGCATGGGGGAAACTGTCGTGATTCTCCCTCTTTTGGCTTTCTCCTATGGAGATTAATCTGGCTGTCACTCACATGTCACTGTGTGAGGGAGTACCTGACAGTATCAATATAGAACACCGATCCAACTCTTCACAGAGTTGCTGCCATTGGGATCTTGAGTTGATGTGCATCGATCCTTCATGCTGGAATCTACTGAAAATTGGATATTTTAGTTTTTCTTTTATTAATTCAGAGGGTGTGGGCATTGCTGGCGAGGCCCCAGCAATTTTTTTCCAACCTCTAGAGATGGTGGTGGTGAGCTGCCTTCTTGAACTGCTACGGTTCATGTGCTGTAGTTAGACCCACAATGCCCTTAGGGAGGGACCTGCAGGATTTTGACCCAGCAACAGTGAAAGAACAGCAATATATTTCCAAATCAGGAAGGTGGCTTAGAGGGCACATTGCAGTGGGTGCGGTTCCCAAGTATCTGCTGTTCTTGTCCTTCAAATGGAAGTGCTATGAGTTTGGAAGCTGCTGTCAGAGGATATTTTGAGAGTTACTACAGTGCATCTTGTAGGTGGTATACAGTGCGGCTACAGCAGGTCGATGATAGACAAAGGAAATGTTTGTGGATTTGATGCCAGTCAAATGGGCTGCTTTGTCCTGGACAGTGTCAAGCTTGTAGAGTGTTGTTGGAGCTGCATTCATCCAAGGGAGGAGTATTCCATCACATGCCTGACCTGTGCCTTGCAGACTGTGGACAGGCTTCGGGGAGTCAGGAGGTGAGTTACTTGCCGCAGGATTCCTATCCTCTGCTGACTTTCTGTTATAGCCACTGTATTTATATAGCTAGTCCAGTTCAGTTTCTGGTCAGTAGTAACCTCAGAATGTTGATAGTGGGATATTCGGTAATGATAATGCCATTAAATATCAAGGCGCAATGGTTAGATCCTCCCTTGTTGGAGATAGGTTTTGCCACTTTGTCAGGAGATTACTATGTGGTGCAAATGCTTCCTGCTGCATTTCAGCTCAAGCCTGGATATTGTCCAGGTCTTGCTTCATTTGGACATGGACTGCTTCAGTATCTGAGGAGTTGCAAATGTGCAATCATCAGCTAAAATCCTCACTGCTGACGTTATGATAGAGGGAAGTCATTGATGAAGCAGCTGAAAATGGCTAGGCATAGGATACTACCCTGAAGGACTCCTGCAGAGATGTCTTGGAGCTGAGATGATTGACCTGCAACAATCACGACCATCTATCTATGTGCAAAGTATGACTCCAGTCAGTAGAGTGTTTTACCCCTGGTTCCCATTGACTTCTGCTTTGCTCGGGCTCCCTGATGCCACAATCAGTCAAATGGAATCTTGATGTTAAGGGCCATCATTTTCGCCTTGCCTCTGGAATTCAGCTCTTTTGTCCATGTTTGAACCAAGGTTGTAACAAGGTCAGGAGCTGAGTGCCCCTTGAGCAGGTTATTGCTGAGAAGGTGCTGCTTGATAACACTGTTGGTAGACAACTTCCATCACTTTACTGATGTTCAAGAGTAGACTTATGTGGCTGTAATTGGCCAGGTTGGATTTGTCCTGCTTTTTATGTGTACAGTTATCATCAAAAAGGTCTAAAGGAATACCTGAGACATAATGAAAACAGGAGACAGGTGATGGAAGTATTAATCAAGTTAACTGGTTTTGAATTATTCGTATAAATAAGGGGAGCTAATAATAGTTGACTGTGAGTTTTATGAAATCTTGGTAACTGAAGTAAGGCTTTCACTAAAAGTGTGGACTTGGACACTGTTTAAAAACATTTATCTACTGATGCGTAGAAATCAGGACATATCTGGGCAATTGTCCACATTGTTATGTCAATGTTAGTGTTGTAGTTGTTAAAAGTAGTTGGCTAAGGGTGTGGAAAGTTCAGGTGCACAAGGTGTTAACCTGGCTACAAAACAGGACTACTGCATGCCAAACAATATAAGCAGCAAGTGTTAGATAGATCTGAGTGATATATAACCAACGGGTCTCATCTTTGTAGTCAAGCTACATCCAATCACAAATCGTGGTGGATAATTAAACAACTCTGGAGGAGGAGGCTCCACAAATATCCCCACTTTCAATGATGGGGGAGCCCAGCACCTCAATGCAAAAGATAAGGCTGAAGCATTTGCAACAATCTTCAGCCAGAACTACTGAGTAGGTGATCTATCTCAGCCTCCTCTAGTGCTCCACAGCCTCTCAGATGCCATTATTCAGCCAATTCAATTCACTCCAGTGATATCAAGAAGCAGTTGGTGGCACTGGATACTGCAAAGGCTTTGGGCCCTGACAACTTTCTGGCAATATTACTGAAGACTTGTTCTCCAGAACTTGCCATGCATCCCCTATCTAAGCTGTTCCTGGACACTTACAACACTTGTATCTACCCAACAATTTGGAATATGGCCGAGATATGTCCTGTACATAAAAACAGGACAAATTCAACCTGGCCAATTATCAGTCTACTCTCATTGTTGATTGCTTTTATTCAGATTGACAACATCTGTGATCTTTTGATTTTGTATTCTTTTTTAATGAACGCATTGTTCCTACATGGTTTCATTCAAAACATTAAATAACTGTGTCACTGTGACTGGTTTTGAGCTGGTGAGTGATTTGTTAACAGTGAAAATAATTTTGTTTCAAAGCTGCAAGAGTTATATTGAATTTTTCTTTGTGTTTTTCAGGCTCTCCAAACACTGAGCTTCAGACTCAAGTGCTGTGTCTGTCATTGGGTTATTTTATATTTGATATGTGCTGGTGTATTTATTTCCAAACAGAGGGTCTGGTGATGCTCTCTCACCACTGTCTCAGTATCCTTGGCATTGTCATGGTGCTGGCTTTGGGACATTCAGCTATCGAAGTCAATGCTGTCATCTTTGGCAGTGAACTGACCAATCCTTTCCTCCAGATCCGCTGGTTTCTTCGAGAATCTGGCCATTACCACTCCTTGCTGGGAGATGTTGTTGACTTGCTGTTTGTGTTGCTGTTTAGCTGTGTGCGAATCGGGATTGGGGGCAGGCTGCTGTATTGTGAGTTATCTTCCCCTGTGCCCCTCCCTATTGTGAAGTTGGCAGGAGTCGCCATGTATGCAGTGTCCTGGATGTTCATGCTGAGCATTGCCAAGTTTGCTTGGAGGAAGATTAATCACAAATGCAAGGCATGGAGAGAGTGGAGCAGGTGTCCTTTTCACTTATACACCAATGGACATGCAAATAAAGCTTGCTAGCTTATAGCAACGTGAACCGTGCTGAGGGGCAATCAAGCACAACCAGAGACATGTCTTTCATCGTTTCCTCAGTATTCTTCTGTAGTGACTTCCTTTAAATGTGATTTCGATCTCAAGATTTTGGATCGCCCTCATCAAGGGGGAATCTGTGGGTCAGTTCAGCGTATGTCATGACCATCTGCACCCAATCACTTTGAGGTGAAAACCAAACCAAAACTGATCAATGTTCTCAATGGTATTTGAATGGTACAAATTGTCTCTCTGCATCATGTCTAACATCAGTCTTGTTCCCTGACAATGCTACATGTGGAACAAACAGTTTGGGTTGAGTTTTACCTGATGATCCTCCTGTTGGTCTATTTCCCTCTTTTGAAATATCTGATTCACCACATGATCCAGGTCTCTGGTGATTTCAGTTAAGAGCCATAGGCCACCTGCTATCCTGGACAGTGACCGTTAAGGGATAGGAGTTATTGAACAGTGATTAGGAGCAGGAACCCTGGTTGATTTCCTTTCTCTCTGACCCAGGGGTCACTGATTAGGGGCATGATTCTTTGCTAATTTTGCCCCTATATACACTAGGGATAGTTGAAACCAGTTTTCCTGGGCCTAGTGCCAGTCCAGCTGAGCGCAGCTAACAAGACACAGGTAAGCCATGGAACCTCGTGACCAGTGTGGCTCAGCCAATAAGACAGTGATTTTACTGAGACATTGAATACCCATCCTTGAGCTTTCCTGGATTATCATTGACTTTTAAGGCTGTTTCTCAAATATTCCATATTTCTCCTTGGCTCTATCAGGAATAATTTGAGTCACTGATCATGCAGTAAATGAAAGGTTTGTTAGAAGGAAGAGATCATTCCATGTTCTGACAAGTAACATAAATCCAATTGATGGTTAGCTGGATATAAAAGTTTTGGAAGGATGTGGGAGCAGGCTGTGTAAATGTGATTGAATTGCTTCCCCTGTGGATTGTAAAGGCTGAAATGGATTGTATGGGCCGAAATGGATTGTATGGGCCGAAATGGATTGTATGGGCCAATGGCCTTCTCCCATTGTTTCAGGTCAGTTTGAAGACTTGTCAACAACCAAGGAAGGAATTTGGCTTTTGTGGTGGTGCTGCTGCTAGTTTAACTATATCACTAACGCTGCTTCCCTGCTCTTTCCCCATTCTCCTGAGTGTTTCTCTTCAGTGTATTATACAATTCTCCCTGGAATGTCACAACACAAATCATTTAACAGCTGTGCTAACATTTTCTGTAGTGAATGACTATTTGCATGATAAATAATTCCCTAACCCCCTCATACTCTTCCTGTTCTGACTTTACCAAAGCAACCCATTTCTTCCATTGTGTTTTACACACTCTGTTTGGACTCTGGGCTTCTTCTGGAACAAGGAGTGAAGAATCGTACTTGAGAAACTGGCTTCAAACAATGTTGGAATTGGGCTGGTGTTTGGAGGTCAAGAATTATCCCAGCTTGAAGACCCCATTAGATGTCAACCTGGTTATAAAATGCTCAAATTTAAGTTTGTTGTATTGATTCTAACTAGCTGATTTGCCTAGTAGAGGAATTAATCTGTCACTATTGACTCTGCGAACCCAGTCATCACTTCAGTCGCTTTGTTGAACCTCTTGTACCACTTACGTTTTAAACAAAGCCTCCTGTCTCCTGCAACACACGGTCAGCCTTGCTGAAACTGTTACAGGAGGAAGCCATTTAGCACCTTGAGCCAGCAACATATGAACAGGATGCCTTTCAATCTATTCCATGGTTTACTTATCTTTCTTTGATCAAGTTCCCAAAACGGATGCACAAAATTATGAAAACTATGACTAACTCACAGCTTGTTCATTACATCTTTATAGCCTGTGCCCTAACGGTAATCTGCAGGTCTGCCACACTCTGCTGTTTCCCAGCTGTGGTGTAATCAGAAATATGTGGTATTATTCACTCTAAGCCCAAGGACAAAGTATTGGAAGACAATAGAGAGTCTCAGATTGACCCTTGGGTATAGCAATAGTCTGGCCAAGTAAAGAGCATCGATTTACTTCTGCTTTTCCTTCCAGTCACTCAGCCATTTTCCTTTCTGTCAGGCAAACTTTACCTTTTTACATAAGCAATATGAACAGAGGAAGGTATTCATCCATTTAAGCCCACTCTGCCAGTCATGGAAACATAGAAGATAGGAGCAGGAGTAGGCTATATGACTGTTCAAGCCTGTTCTGCATTCAGTATGATCATGGCTGATCATCGAGCTCAATACCCAAATACCCTTTTTTCCCTATATCCCTTGATTCTTTTAGACACAAGAGCTATACCTACCTTCTTGAAAACTCAATGCTTTGGCCACAACCACTTTCTGTGGCAGGGAATTCCACAGGCTCACCATAATGTTTACCCCTTATTCTTAAAGTATGATCCCTGGTTCTAGACTCTACCACCATTGGGAACATCCTCCCTGCCTCTAACCTGTCTAGTCCTGCTTAAATTTATAGGTTTCTTTGAGATTCCCCCTCATTCTTCTAACTTCAATGAATACAATCATAACTGACTAGATCTCTCCTCATACATAAGTCCTGCCAACCCAGGAATCAATTTGGTAAACCTTTGCTGCACTCTCTCTATAGCAAGAAGATCCTTCCTCAGATAAAGAGATCAAAACGGAACATAACATTCCAGGTGTAACTCCCCCCCCAATGCCCTGATTAATTGCAAATAGACATCCTTGGCCCTGTATTTGAATCCTCTCAGTATGAAGGCCAACATATAGTTTGCCATCTTTACTGTCTGCTGCACTTGCATGCTTTCAGCAATTCTTGACACCCAGGTCTCTTTGAACATTTATCTCTATTTTCCTTCCTATTTTTGGTACAAATGTGTTACGAAACCTCACAGTTATTCACATTAAACCACATCTGTTGTGTCTTTGCCCACTTACTCGGCCTATCCGCATCCCACTGCAACTTCTTTACACCCCGCCCACAGTTCACTCTTCCACCCAACTTGGTGTCATCTGAAAATTTTGAGATATTACATTGAGTTCCCTCATGTAAATTTTTAAAACACATGTCATGAATAGCTGGGTCCTGGTAAAGATCACTGGGTGCCTGCTGCCATTCAGAAAAAGATCCATTTATTCCTACTGTTTGTTTCCTGTCTGCAAACCAATTTTCTATCTCAATACATCTGAACACATTACCCCCAGTTCCATGCCCTTTAATTTTGCACATTAATCTTCTGTGTGACTTGTTGAAAGTCCAAATAAACCACATCCACTGGCTCCCCCAATCAACTCTACTAGTTCTATCCTCAAAGAATTCTAGTAAAATTGTCAACTATGATTTCGTAAATCCATGCTGACTGTATCTGATTCTATCACTGCTTTCTAAGTGCTCTGCTATAAAATCCTTGATAACGGACTCTAGCGTCATCCCCACTACTGATATTAAACTCACTGGTCTATAATTCCCCTTTCAAATAATAGGATTACATCAGCTACTCTCCAATCTGTAGGAACTGTTCTAGAGTCTAAAGAACCAATGCATCCACTATGTCTACGGCTACTTCCTTAAGTACTCTGGGATGTAGAATATCAGGCTGTACAGATTTATCAGCTTTCAATCCCATCAATTTCTCCAACACCATTTCTCTAGTAATAGAGATTTGTCTCAGTTCCTCTCACTAAATCCTGTATTCCCCATCATTTCTGATCAATTAGATCATGGCTGGTCTTCTACTTTGACACTGTTTTCCTGTACCTCCTGTGTACCTTGATATAATTCCAAAGAAATCTGCTGATCTCTGCCTTAAATACACTCAATGATGGATCTTCTACGGCTCACTGAAGAATTGTAAAGATTCACCACCCTTTGAAGAAATGCCTTCTCAAATGGATGACCCGTTATTCTGATCCTGTTCCCTGTACATGCTCTCCTCATTCAGGAGGAAATATCCCTCCTGTTTCTACCCTGTCAATTCCTGTGAGAATTCTATATGTTTAAATGAGATCACCTTGCATTCTTTGAAACTCAAGAAAATATTGGGTCCATTCTACGGCTAGAATATATTTCCTTGGGAAAAGAGACCAAAAGTGTACATAATGCTCGCCAAGTGGTTTCACCAAGGCTCTATATAATTGCAGTAATACTGTCAGGTTTAATCTTTGCGCCAAGCAGTTTACATCCCAATTTAACAGTTAAAAAAGCCTAAATTCTCTTTGTCTAATCCTTGATGCTTTCTTCAAAAGGTCAATTAGATTCCTTCCCTGTGAGAGGATTTGTTGTTCATCTATAAAATGATCAAGAAAGTAGAGTGCAGACCAGGGTCAGATCAGCCATGACTTTAATGGGTGGTGAAACAGGCTCATTGAGCTCAATAGCCAAAATAAATAACGACAATTTCACACACTCTGCATCAATATCGTTAAAGGGAATAAATATACAATCAACTTCACAGCTGTAGGGTAACCTACAGTTCACTGACCATGCTCTGTCCCCTAGCCTCCGAAGAAGACACAAAAAGCATCCCAAAGAATAGTGAAACTATAGAGGTAAAAAGGGAGAGAGGAACTTAAAATGATCAAAACTGCTAGAGAAATAGACATCACACGATGTCTGCATAGAGTTCCAGGAAATTTAGGTTCACCCTCACTGCAGCAGGGGAGTGGAGTGTAAAAGTGGCGAAGTCTTGCTACAACTATACTGGATGTTGGTGAGACTACATCTGAAGCACTGTACAGTTTTGGTCTTCTTTCTTCAGGACAGATGGAGTTTCATTGGATGCAGTTCAGAGAAGGTTCACTTGGCTGCTTCCTGGGATGAAAAGATTGTTTTACGAGGAAAGGTTGAGCAGCTTGGACCTAATCTAATTGAAGCTTAGAAGAATGAATGGTGAGCTTATAGAAACATAAGGTTCTGAAGGGATTTGGTACGGTGGATGCTGAGGGGATGTCTCTCCTCATGGGGGAATCTAGAACTAGGACAATTTCAAAACAAGGGGTCTCCCATTTAAGGTTAAAAATCACACGACACTAGATCATAGTCCA